CAACTGCATCATTTTGTAAGTTCATTGGTTTGGAAATTGTATGTTTTTTTTCATTCTAAGCAATCTCAAATTTATCTTAGAAACTTTGCTTTGCGACAAGAAAAACTTTTGATGTCATGAACAAATAAAACTACATTAAGGGAATATTTTTATAGCATATATTCAAAAATTAATTTCAATATTTTTCTTTATTTTATTTTATTTTTTAAAGATTGGCATCTGAGCTAACAACTGTTGCCAATCTTCCTTTTTCTTCTTTTTTTTTCTTTCTGCTTTTTCTCCCCAAGTCCCCCCAGTACATAGTTGTATATTTTAGTTATGGGTCCTTCTAGCTGTGGCACATGGGACGCCACCTCAACATGGCTTGATGAGTGGTGCCATGTCCACGCCCAGGATCCGAACCAGCGAAACCCTGGGCCGCCATAGAGGAGCAGGTGAACTTAACCACTTGGCTGTGGGCCAGCCCCCAATATTTTTTCTTATTTTACCAATTCCAAAGGGAAATAATCAACATGTATGTGGTACAGTTTTATCAGATAAAGCTGTGTTACTAAAAATGTTCGCATTATAAAATTAAAAAAAGAACGAAAGTAAAAAACAGAGCACAATGTAATAATGTAAAAAAACTCTTGGCAAGTATACTACCAGGACTGATGGTAGCATACCATTGCAGGTAGACATGAATCAGTTGGGGGATAACTCAGCTGGCACAGGCCAGTGTGATTCAACAGTACCATGGATAAGGAGATAGCCCACATAGTTGAGAGACTAGTTTCGTTCAAAGGGATGCAGCATATAAGTAGACACATTATGAGGATAGTGGGAGCTAGTTTCTCACTGAAAGGAGAGATGCAAATATGGAAAGGGAGAAGGTTAGAACAAACCATATGGATCTGGATTTTAAATGGAGGTATCAAAATTAACTCATGGTTTCTAGCATATAAATATAGATATAGGGGTGTGTGTGTCCTCACGTGCACCTGCATATACATACATACACTTCCTGACTCTATCAACTGAGAGGACATAGAAGGAATGACATCCCAGTACCTAGTACCCAGATCTTGGTTTTTAAATACCATTGTCCACTAAAAGGAACCAGAGGCTCAAGCAGGCAAAGTACAAGGTGAGCCTAGAACATCATATTGTGCCAGAAAACATAGAATTTCTCAAAAAATCATGGAGATATTTTAAAAGGACACCAGAACCAGCTAGAAGGGCTGACACTGGCCAAATCTGGGACAATTTGAGCACTAAAAAGAATAATGATATTGATGGATTATAACCCATTAATAAAAATAGGAATCTATGAGATCATACAGATATAAATAAACAGATGAATTAATAAATGGAGTGAACGGAAATCTGTACCTTATAGTAGAATGTAGTATTAGTATTAGTAGAATTAGTATTCTAATAAATATAGAAGGAAAAATTGAATTAGAAATCACCATTTGGTGATTTTTCACTTTTTTTTTACTTTTAAATGGCACCAAGAGGTAATATAGAGAGAATATATGTAATATTATATATTATGTAACATATATAGAAAGAGAGAGAATAGGATAAAACAAATGAAGTAAAAGTTAACAGTTGTGAAATCTGAGTGAAGGAGGTAGGGGAGTTCTTTATATTATTCTCACAATCTTTCTGTAATTTTGAAATTGTTTCAAAATAAAACCTTATTAAAAGAATCATAAGAAAATAAATGAAGAAAGGAAAGAGGCATTACTTATTGTTTTCCCTTTGGGGACAAAATAATTAGAAGATGTTATATTATAACACATGAGGATAAATAAACCCTAGCAGCAATTACAGCTAACCGGCCTAGCTGGGCCAAAGCTCGTTGATTCCTGTGAGATAGGTGGGGAAAAATAGGTCTCTAGAAGGGAAGCCAAGCACCTGGCCCAAGGCTTGGGAGTTTTACTTGGTTTTGAAAGATGAAATCATTTTTATGCAGGGACTGTGTTGGGGGAGGGGAGAGGGTGGTGACTAGAAGAAAGGAGGAGGAGGATGACTTGCCTGAATCAGGAATTTCTGGAGTCAGGCTGTTCTTCTTGAGACCAAGTTGATCAAGCATAGATAGGGATCCAAACACCTTTAGATAATATAGAACTTTCTCTTTGGGAAAACTATCATTAACTGAAGAAAAAGCCTTTCAGTATCATTTAATCAAATAAGACTATTCATAGAAAATCATTGTGTGGAAAGTCTTAGCCCCATAGGAAGACATCCAAGACATGGCTGACTTAATCTGAGCCTAGAGGGTTAATGATTCCCTGGAGGAAGGAATAGAATCAGACTGGCCAAATCCCTGAGTTCCATGGACTTGCCTCACCTCGAGATTTCTCCTTCATATGCATGATTTTAAGCTGCAATGATTATATGTGATGTTACCTGCTCTATTTTCATCTTCTCTCATTCCTAATCCTGACACAAAAAGGTCCTTCAAAATTAGAGAGTAGGGAATCTTCTTGCCTAGAGGGACCAAGGCAAGACACAAACTGGGAGAAAAACATATGCAAAACATATGTCCATCAAAAGACTTATATTTAGAATATATAAAGAACTCATAATTTAATAATGAAAAGATTTTTAAAATCTAACAATAAAAAAATGAGCAAAAGATTTGAACACATACTTTATTTAAGAAGATATATGGATAGTAAATAAGCACATAAAAGGTATTCAACATCATTAGTCATTAGAGAAATTGCAGATCAATACAATTAAAGCCACTACATACCCTCTAGTGTTACTGAACCAGGTTCATTTTGCCCACTCTACGAAATGCCAATCACTGAGACAATGAGTTCGCAGAAAAGAAATGGTTTATTCACAAGGCAGCCAAGTGAGGAGACAGGAGAATAAATCTCAAACCCGCCTCTCCAAAAATGGGGATTAGAGATGTTTGTGGGATAGAGAGGCAGGATGTTCTGAACTATGGGAATAGGTGATGGGGGTAAGGAGAAGTGAAGTAATTGATGGTCTGTGCAAATGTAGTCAAGCTTCATGGCTCTTGGTAGGACACATGTTCACAAACTGGAAGTGTCAGCAAGATCCAAGGGTGGAGTTTTTGGTCCCCTGACGTCAAAGGGTCACCTATCAGGCATCTGCACAGACCCAGTTGATGAGTCGGTGGTCTTAACTGGCCTAAACTGGACAAGGAGTCAACTCAGTTCCTGAAAAACTTAAGCACCTGTTACCATGATGACCCCAGCATCAGAGATCAATAGAGTGGGCTTCAGTAATGCATCATGCAACTACTTTTGCAAACAGACAGCTAACTGAATATAGTTAAAGCAAGTTGGCCCCGGTTTCACTAGGATGGCTAAAATTAAAAAGACTAAGTGTTGGTGAGGCTGTAGAGAAACTAGAACACTCATACACTGACGTTGGGTATAAAATGGTATAATCACTTTGGAAAACAGTTTAGCAATTTTTTAAAAAAGTTAAACATACACCTATCTTATGACCCAGCTATTTTACTCCTATGTATTTACCCAGAGAAATGAAAACGTGTCCACACAAAGACTTAGACACAGATATTCATAGCAGCTCTATTTGTAATAGCCAAAAACTGGAAACAGTCCAAATGCCCATCAACAGTATATGGATAAATAAATTATGGTATATCCATACAACAGAATATTACCAGCAATCAAAAGGAACTGTTGATGTACAAAACACTATGGATGAATCTCAAAATAATTATTCTGAGTGAAAGAAGTCAGGTCAAAAAACCCAGGTATACCATGTATGATTCAATCTATGTAAAATTCTAGAAAATGGAAACTAATCTATAGTGACATAAAGCATATCGGTGGTTGTCTAGGACAGAGGTGGGAGTTGGAGCTAGAATGAGGTGGGGAGGAATGGATTACAAAGAGGTACAAGGAAACAGTGGTGATGGATATGCTTATTATCTTAGTTGTGATGGTTTCACAGGTATACACATATGTCAAAATTAATCAAATTTTACACTTTAAATATGGTCAGTGTATTACATGTCGATTATACTTCAATAAAGCTATTTCTTAAAAAACTTACTTGTTGGGGCTGGCCTGGTGGCGCAGCGGTTAAGTGCGCATGTTCCGCTTCGGCGGCCTGGGGTTGGCAGGTTCAGATCCTGGGTGCGGACATGGCACCGCTTGGTATGCCATGCTGTGTCAGGCATCCCACATATACAACAGAGGAAGATGGGCATAGATGTTAGCTCAGGGCCAGTCTTCCTCAGCAAAATGAGGAGGATTGGCAGCAGTTAGCTCAGGGCTAATCTTCCTCAAAAAAAAAAAAACTTACTTATCATTTCCAAAGGATAGATTAGAGAGGTAGTAGTGGTGGCTGAGGTGGTTCTGAGACTAAGGTTCTGAGCTCTCTTTCTTCCAGGGAAGGAGCTGTATTTTGAGCTCTGGGTTTTAGGATGGTTCCCATGAGATCAGAGCTGGCCCGGGGCTGGTGAACACCAAGACACTCAAAAGTGTGCTGTAGTTTCCTCTTCTCAGATCAAGCAGAGGCTCTGTTCCAAGGATGCAGCTTTGGGAACAATTTCTTCAGACCGCAAAAACAAATGAGATAACTCTTCGTGATCCAGAAATGTTTCTATCCTTTTCCTTTCTGGGGATTTGAAGACAGATGTGGGCACAATCCTTGTCCAAGTCCAAAATTATCTAATAGGGGAAAAAATAGAAGACTGGATTGAAAATAAAAATCAAGACGACTAAAAGCCCTATTTGATATTTTTATAAAGAGAATGTACTTTCTAGACAGGAGATTGAGTCATATGCTGGAATGATATGGAATGATATTCCATGTCCAGGAGACAAATGGAATGATAAAGAGGTCCATAAGTACACATTTCGTACACTTCCTGAATTTCCTCTTAAACACTTGACTCAAGATAGATTCATTTCCTCTGGACAAGACGTGATGAGAGACCTGATGGGTTAAAAAAATTACATGTAAAAATAATCCCCATTTCCCCTCCCCCGGGACTTTAGGTAAGAATATGAAAACTCAACCACCCTTGAGCAGGATGAGCCGGGAAGAACTGGAGGACAGTTTGTTTCGTCTTCGTGAAGAGCACTTGTTGGTGAAGGAGCTTTCTTGGAAGCAACAGGATGAGATCAAAAGGTACCTAGAGTGCTTAAGTCTTTAAAAGTTGTATCTAGGGGCTGGCCCAGTGGCGGAGCGGTTAAGTTCCCGGGCTCCGCTTCCGTGGCCTGGGGTTCGCCGCCAGGATCCGGGACATGGACCTACACACCACTTATCAAGTCATGCTGTGGCAGACATCCCCAGGCATCTCACATATAAAGTAGAGGAAGATGGGCACTGATGTTAGCTCAGGGCCAATCTTCCTAAAGCAGAAAGAGGAGGATTGGTGGCAGATGTTAGCTCATGGCTAATCTTCCTCAAAAAAAAAAATTGTATCTACACCAAGCCTATACTACACTAAACCAAAAAGAATACGTTTTCCTGAGAAGTCTGCGTGAAAAAACAATTCAAATGTCAAGGATGGTTAAATCCAAAAATAATTTTTGAAGAAATATTGCTTTATTCTGTTTTCTTGCCAAACACATAATAGACTGTGACCATAGGCCACAAAGCACCATCAGAGCTGTTTCAGTCCACAGAGCAAGAGATTGGGCAGGCGTCTGCCTTGGTCACAAAGAGAGAATGGGGACAGGGAGAATGGCCAAAATCTCAGAGGAACAAAGGCTGCAGGGGCAAGTAAGAGAAAGGTTTTTATTTACAAAACAAAACCAAAAATCGTATTGATCATTTACTATGTGTGGGCATGTTATAAGTGCCTTGTATGTATTAACTAACTTAATATAAATACCATTAACTCACTTAATACTATGAAAAAAGTATTATTAAGAGGAAAATGATGGGGCCAGCCCCGTGGCCGAGTGGTTAAGTTCGCGTGCTCTGCTTCGGCGGCCCAGGGTTTCGCCGGTTTGGATCCTGGGTGCAGAGATGGCACTGCTCATCATGCTGAGGGGTCATCCCACATGCCACAACTAGAAGGACCCACAACTAAAAGTACACAACTATGTACTGGGGGGCTTTGGGGAGAAAAAGGAAAAATAAAGTCTTTTTAAAAAAGGGAAAAGCAAGGGGCTGGCCCTGTGGCCGAGTGGTTAAGTTTGCGCGCTCCGCTGCAGGCGGCCCAGTGTTTCGTCAGTTCGAATCCTGGGCGTGGACATGGCACTGCTCATCAAACCATGCTGAGGCAGCGTCCCACATGCCACAACTAGAAGGACCCACAACTAAGAATATGCAACTATGTACCTGGGGGCTTTGGGGAGAAAAAGGAAAAAAAATAAAATCTTTAAAAAAAAAAAAAAAAAAAAGGAAAAGCAAGCACAAAGAGGTTAAGTAACTTGCCCAAGGTAGCAGCTAGTGAGTGAGTGGCAGAGCTGAAAGCTCATAACTCCAAAATTTACTATATACAGCGACCTTAGGGATTGGCTTTCAAAAGTGTTATCTTTTGCATGTAGACCTGGAGAGGAATCTGAGATGGGGTAGATAAACAGATGGGGAGAATGGGAAAGTCCAGGGTTTATCTCTAGGACACATTTTGAAGATATTGCTGCCAGTGCCTTCCAGTCAAAGACCATGAGGAACACACCTGTAGCTGAGCAAGTTGGGTTTGTTACTGTTGCACCTTGAGAAAATGCACACCGTGGTAAACTAAAGGCATGGCGGTAAGAATGTGTTAGAAAGAAAGTGTTAGAGGATTTGGGCTTCCTTTGTGTGATTTAAGGGAAGGTCCAAGGTACCGGAAGTTTGCCCAGATTTGGTACTGTCCGAAAGCAGAGGCGACTCTGTGTCTGCATGTCTCAATGAATCTTGCTTCCTGGGAGGGTAGACTAGAGTGAGACTAAAGTCGTAACTGATAAAGAAGTAGCAATCAGTCGTATTAACTAGGAAAGGAGGGTGTTTGGTATTTTGTGGGTGGCACGATCACCTTGTTTTTGTCTGTGCTTAGACAAAATTGTGCAGTGGCTTTGTTTTGTATCATTCTATCGTGGTCTCGGAGTGGCCTTGTGTGGTGTTGGTATTCCATGACATTATGTCCAACAGGACAATATGAGCTCCAGGCCATCTTCAAACAGCACGAGGACTAGCTGTGTCAGACCAATTCCCCAATATCAAGAGCAGCTTTTTGCTATCTCATTGGTAATCCCCGGGAGGGTCCAGAGCTTCATTTAGAATCTAAAGGATTGCAGGCTGCCGTTGTATGCCAGCACTCTTCAGAGCTGGGGACTCTTTTATATCGTGAGAACTGCAGAATCTGGTGAAAGTCAGAAGGTTGCATGGGGCAAAAATTCTTGCTTCTTTGTGGATAACCAAAAAGTACCTAAGATTATAGATATGAAGTGGCTAAATTGGATTCCACCCCTCTGACTTTGGGCAAGTTACCTAGCTATTTTATGTCTTGATTTCTTTATCTGGATATAGTAATATATACTAACAATGGCTAACTCCTCCAGTGCTTACAATGCACCATCACTGTTCAAAGTACTTTACATATATTAACTTATTGAATCCTCTTAACAGTCTAATGACGCAGGGACTATTTTTATCTTTATTCGTAGAAGAGGAAACTGAGTACAAAGGTTAATGGCATGCCCAAGGCTACATAGTCAGTAAATGTCAGAACCAGCAGGCAGTGGGACCACAGAATCTGATGGTAATGGTAAAAAGCATGAGTTTAGGTCAAGATAACACATAGTAGTTGACTATCCGCTATAGGTAAGGGTCAGTGTATATGAGGGACCGTAGAGGAGTAATCCTTAAAGTCGGGCACATATACAGGGGTGTGCAGACTATTGGGGTGGGAGAAGTACGTATTAACATTTCTACTTATATTTCATTATCTTCTCTTTAAAAAAATAGTATTTTTATTTATGTTTTATAATGACTATAATTTATTAGTACAGAAGTAAATGTATATGATTTGGAAATAAATATACACACAATATGTATTGAGAGTGCTCCAACATTTTTTATTAAGATGAGTGTGATCACTGCAACAGATTGGACAAGGACAGACACCACGATGTCCCTGTCCTGAAAGAGTTTACAGTGTATTGGGGACAAAAAATAAATTTTTTTAAAAGTGTAAATAATGGACCACAGTAGATAAATTTTTATCAGAGATCAATTCAGATTATTTTCCACCAAATGAACTGTAGACATAATAACTGTCATAGAAGGAGAAACACGTGCCACCAGCTCTGTTTTCGCCCATAGGATGAGGACAGCCTTGCTCCGGTTGACCGCTGCGGGCCGGTACCCCAGGGCAGAGGTGGCGGCGGTGGAGCAGCTCTCGGAGCCCGCAAGGCAGAGTTGGAGCGCAGGGTGGCGGCAGCGACCCCACAAGCACCAGCGTCCCCTAACGCACGGGCTGCAGCTGCAGTTCCAGCGCGTCGGTCCCCCTGTCCCCCGCCGCCCCCAGCCTCGTGTCCCTGTGGGACACAGACAGCTTCACACTGCCGGTGCGCAGGTGCCGGAGAAACCCAAGACGGGTGAGGTTCAGGGCAAAGTCCCCACAGAGCTAAAATACTGGGAAGGAGAGATTGGCCAGCCGCATTTTTCTGCTCACTGCTTTATTCTGCTCACCACCCCATTGTGTCCTTTTGTTCTCTTGTCCTCATTCCTTTCTACCTCCTTAAAATATTTTTCTCCTGAGTGGAATGGCAGGTCCAATTCTTAGTTTACCTCGAAGTATTGTTGAGGGAGAATCAGACAATTGAAACCGGAACTTTGCTGGTTAAGTTCTGCCCCGAGTCTGGAAAACAGATACAAGATAACATTGATGTCTCCCTCAGGTGTGAGAGGTAGTGATCTTAAGACAGGTCCCTCTACTGGGACTCTGGGACTCTGGGACTTTGGACTAAGTGGTCATGCCTCTAAAACTGGGATTCTTAGCCTTTTAGGGGAAATGGACTACATTGAAACCATGATCAAAGCTAGATCCCCTCCCAAGAAAAATTCACGTACACATAGACAAAACTTTGCATGCAGTTCTGTGTTTTCAGAGATTCCAAAAGCCCATTCCTGAAGGCCAGGCCTAGAGGTCAGGCTGTAAGTGAGGTGTTGCAGTTTCTTCTCTTCCTGTATTCCAAGTGGCTAAGAGTCTCTGGCTGCTATGAAATCCAACATTGAATTAAATAAAATACTGTGTGTAAATTTCCTTCACTTTGCCTACTTATCCCTGATTTAGGTCCATGGGAATGGAGTGTCTTCACCCTGTGGTTTCAGTGCTAGGTTTTGTTTAGCACAGTCCTATATTTTCAAGCTCCCTATCTGAGCCAACCAAATCTTTGCAAAAATAGCTGAGTACAAAAATTAAATGTCTAAATTTCAATTTGGTTTAACTTCAGCATTATTGAGTACCAATTATAGAAAAGATATATACAGAGATAAAGATGCATTAGAGTTAGACACAGCCCCTGCCCTGGCCAAGCTTGCACCTTTCTTCTTCGCATTTATACTCACACTTGAGAGTCTGTAGTCCCGCTGACTTATTAAATCTGTAGTTGCATATCTATGCAAGAGTAAAGACTAAGACCTCTCCTCTGGGATCAGTGGTCATAAAGGGATTCCCCCCAGGTCTCAAGGCTCCCTACTTCCAGCACTTGGTGTTCCAGTTCTAGCACTTGGCGTTCTGGAGAAATCTGTTGCCAGAGTCTGCATCTTCTGTCTAAACTTTCAGAGCCAAGGGGCAGACTGAGCTACACAGCCCCTCCCACTTTCAAGGAACATGAGACACATGAGAAAAACAGAGGTGAAATATCCAGAGAACCCTGTGAACTGTGAGTTCTTTTCATTTATCCTGTGCTCTTACTCTTTCAGATTTAATTAGAAATACATCATTTAGGGAACAAGTGAATGTTGGCATTTTGAGTCTTTCTTGCATAATCAGAGAAGATGAAAGTCAACTCTAGGTCAAATTCCAACTTGATTGCTTAAAAATGGAAAATAAACATCTCTGTGTCTTCCAAAGAAAGGAAAATAAAGGCCCTTTCCTTAATTGAAGGTATTCCCTCTCTTTCCCTTTATATTTTCATCCCTTAGGTCATAATTCATTTGTATTTCTGACACTTGAAAGCCATATTTTGTAAGATTATCCTCCACACACACCAAGATTACTGACTCCTTCAATTTCTTTTTATGTGAGAGCCCAATTCTAGACCCCTATAACAGCAGTTTCTATTTCTTCTTTTGTGTTTAATGTTTCTAATTCTAACAGTATAATTTTTTTCAGAAAAGTCATAATTATAACTAAACTCATTGGTCTATGCATGCCTAACAGTGCCCACATTATGACCAGCAATACTATGCAAGTGGAGGAACCACCTAAGTCTCCTGAGAAAATGTGGTCCAAAGATGAAAATTTTGAACACAGAAGCTCTTTTGAGTGTGCTCAGAAGGCCACAGAGCTTCGGTAAGAGTGTGGCATTCCATGCCTCAAGCCATAATGAACTGAAAAAGAGATTCTTATTTGCACCTTTCCACCATCTCAGAGGAAAAGAGAATGCTTGGGATTAAATTCAATCTGAGAAGTAGACCTGGAGTCCCACATAGGTTAAGAAATGGGTATACCTCAAGAGGATGCTTATGTACCATAAAAGATTTGTTCCTTCACTTCAGGGGAGGAAAACTATGTCATCCTCATCACTAGATAGGGATTTTTAGCCCTCACTGTACATCAGTCCTGGAGAACTTTTTAAAAAATAGACTTTATTTTTTAGAGCAGTTTTAGGTTCATAGCAAAATTGAACAGAAAGTACAGAGATTTCCCATATACTCCCCTTTCCCCCCCTACACAGCGTTCTCCACTATCAACATCCCACACCACAGTGGTACATTTGTTTCAGTGGATGAACCTACACTGACACATCATTATCATCCAAAGATCATAGTTTACCTTAGGGTTCACTGTTTGTGTTGTACATTCTATGGGTTTAGACAATACATAATGATGTGTATCCATCATTTTAGTATCACACACAATAGTTTCACTGCCCTGAAAATCCTCTGTTCTCTGCCTATTCATCCCTCCCTTACCCTCTTACCCCTGACACCACTGATCTTTTTACTGTCTCCATGACTTTGCCTTTTTCCAGAATGTTATATAGTTGGAATCATACAGTCTGTACCCTTTTTAGATTGGATCCTTTCACTTAGCAATATGCATTTAAGTTTCCTCCATGTCTTTTCATGGCTTGATAGCTCATTTCTTTTTAGCACTGAATAATGTTCCATTATCTGGATGTACCAGAGTTTATTTATCCATTCACCTACTGAAGGACATCTTGGTAGCTTTCAAGTTTTGGCAATTATGAACGAAACTGATGTAAACATACATGTGCAGGTTTTTGTGTGGACATAAGTTTTCAACCTGGAGGCACTTAAAACCACAGATGCCTGCGGTCCACCCCAGATAGTCTCTTTCAATTATTTGGGCATGGAGTTCAGGTAGTGTAACTTTAGAGATCTCTCCAGATGCTTCTAATAAGCAGCTAAGACTGGTAATCACCGAGATTGAGTCTAGTGAGCCTAAATCCTCCCCAATACTTTTCAAATGATAAGGAAAACATGATCTCCTGGGTGTAGAAATAATGATCTTCCTTTGTGTCCCCCGTCCATATCCACACCTCCCTGGTTCCTCTAAGGAAACCAGTCTCAGACCTAGCTGGACTTTGCTAGGTTTAAGGGAAACTGTGAGCACCATAATTTTAAAAATAGCGATCATGTTTTCTCAGAACACAGAGTTTAAATTTGGTGGTCTCTCTATCAAATCTCAGCTGATGTGAAGGGAAATGAGAGAAAGGAGATTACTTACTGGAGGTTACGTACATGTCCTTCTTCTGGTGTTGTGGGGGAGATCGGAAAGGAAGAGGCAAGAGGAAGATGTTCTTAATTGGTGCAGAGTCAGGAGGAAAAGTTGCTTAACTCTGTCCTTTTGAAGACAGAATATTTCCTCACTGTCTTCTTTCTCCAGAGCTTCCATTAAGGAAAATATAGAGCTGATTCGACTTAAGAAGCTCTTACATGAAAGGAATACCTTATTGGTAGTGACAAAAACACAATTAACAGAAGTTCAAGAGGTGAGTTGCCATCATCAGCTGTGCTTTTTTGGGGGAAAAAAACCCAATTAATTAAGAGATTAGTATTATTTTCTCCATTTCACACTTGGGAGACCACAATTGAGAGAAACTGAGGTACTTGTCTCAGGTCACACAATTTATAGGTGCTATTCAAATCCAAGCCTTGCAACTCAGAGTTCATTCTTTTCCCAGTACTTCCCATTATCTCTCTTTTAGGAAGAAGGCTCAATCTCTGCCTGCTACAGTGGAATTAAGTGGGGTTGATTGTGTCAGGGTTACGGGCCCAGCCAAGGGCCACAGCCAGAATGTAATTAAGTTGGGAAGCCAAGAGCAGTCACAGGGAAAGGAAAGGAAACCAGCCTTTACTGAGCACTCTCTATGTGCTAGGCTCTGTCTTAGGGACTTACAGTCAAAACCTTGTTTAAGCCTGAGAACAACCCTCAAAGTAAGTACATTTAACGAATGAAGGCACCGAGCCTCAAAGAAGCTAAGTAACTTGCTCAAGTCGTAAAAATAGTAAGAGGCAGAGCAGGCTTTGAGTCCAGGTTTCTCTGGCACCGAGGCTCACACTCTTTTCTCGTTACCACACAATAGAAACTCATACCTGAATGGTGAGAATAGAAAATCGATAAGTGATAGATGGGCACCATTCTTTTATTGAATAATTATTTACTAAGTACCAGGAGTCATGCAAAGCACTGGGATACAAGGATTAGAAAGATAAGTAAGACAGCTCCTGCCTTCAAGGATCTTACGGGAGTGAGAGAACAAGAGGTAAACAAGTATCCACATACAGGGTGTGGGGGACACAAAAGAGAGCAGTCAGCTCCACTAGAGGGTGGATGCAGGATCCAAAAAGGAATCACAAAGAAGTATAATACTGGGATACTGCAAGATCAGCAGGTGCTAATGATATGCAAGAGACGGGAGGGCTTTCCAGGAGAGGAGAGCTACGGGCCAAGGAACAGAGGTGAGAAACCTCAGGGAGCAAGTCATGGAGCCTTGTCAGGAATTTAGACTTTATCCTATAGAGAATGGAGAGCTGCAGGAAGGTTTTAAGCAAGTTGATAACACAATCTTTTTCCCTAAAGAGATCACTTTGCCTTTTTCCATGTCTGAAATATTTTTGAGATAAATTTTAATAGAGAAATAATACTTTTGAAAAACTACTATAAAGCACTAATGATTATTAATTCTGGGTAGTCAGATTATACATAACTGTTATTATAGTCTTTATACTTTTCTGAAACTTTCAACTTCTCAAAATTTACAAAACTACAAGGAAAGATCATCTGGCAGCAGAGTGAATGGTAGGTTGGCTGGTACAAGACTGGAGACAAAGAAATCAGGTAAAAGACTAGTGCAGGGGTCCAAGGGAGACACGAGAGGGTCCCACCGAGGCAGGGAAAGAGGCCACAGAAGGACTGCACTGGAGAGGCCCAGGAAGCAGAAGAATGGACTTCATCACCAAAGGGGAGTGAGTGGGGGAAAAGGAGCAATGAAAGAGAACTCCTGGGTCTCTAGCTGGATGATTAAAAAGAGGGTGGTGCCATTCATTGAGATTGGCCACAGGAGAAGAATGGACTTCATCACCAAAGGGGAGTGAGTGAGGGAAAAGGAGCAATGAAAGAGAACTCCTGGGTCTCTAGCTGGATGATTAAAAAGAGGGTGGTGCCATTCATTGAGATTGGCCACAGTTAGCGCTGCCCGTGGCACTTCTGTTCTGATAGGGACTACATGCATCTTTACAAGGCCAACCTTCAAACCTCTGTTGTGTAGAGAACTATGCATATGCCTGCATTCTTTTGATTTAGTTAATTTGGTAGCACTTAAAACATGTGGAAATATGGGAAGGAAGATAATTTAAAATTGTATGGGTAAATTACTGTATTTGTGGGATTAGATTTTTTTTTAATTCATCTATTCCTCCATTACGTTAAAGGAAAAAAGGAAGAAAGCCATTCTAAATTAAATGTTCTTACCTAAGTTAGTGGTTGTGGTAGAGATGACCTAAAATGGAGGATAATCACCCACAATTTTTTTACAATTTGCTTTTCTTTAGTAATTTAGCTTTCTAGTCATGCTTTCTTCACATATACTAAAATAAATCTGCATTCTCTTAGTCCCTTAGCAGTACAATATGGTGGTGAATAGCACAGACTCTGGAGTCAGACAGGCTGAAGTAAAGTTATGCCCCTACCTCTTGTTAGCTATGTGATTCTGAGCAAGTGACTTAGCTCTTTGAGCTTTGGGTTTCTCATTTTAAAGTTTAGGTAATAATACATACCCCTCAGATTTTCTGTGGATTAAATGAGATAATATATATGAAGTAAATATAATGATCGCAATGTAACAGATAATGAAACACATAGTAACATATAACACATAGTAACTGCTCAACCAATAGTAGCTGTCCTTAGTTTGGTTATTGCTTTTTCTATTTCTATTTAGAAAGGAAAGAGACCTTTCTGAGGCAGCTGAGTAAGAGATAGCACCTAATCTGAAAATAAGTATATTTTTTGCATAATCCATCGAGTGCGATGCAAATTTGAATAAATGGCTTTTTATCCTTTTTAAAGAAATGTGTGCTCTATTATGTTCACAGACTACCTGGCAAGCTAGGGCAGGGGAAAAGTAGCAGCAATTAGTAAACAGGTACACAAATTGACTTGATTCATGGGAATTTTTTATAACGTCTTTTAAAATAAATATTTAAACATTTGTATTACAGAGATAAAAATTTTAAAAAATCAAGTTGATCTATCAGTAGAATAATATTTCTTTCTTTCTTTCAGGCATATGAAACTCTGCTCCAGAAGGTACTTGATAAAGATTCCTTGAATCTTTGTTTCTAAGTAATCAAACCCAAAGAAATCTATGTTCATTTTCCAGTAACATAACATCAGAATTTAGCCAACTAAATCAAAGTTAATAGGTCATATAATTTCTATTAAGACAAATGATACTATTAATATTATCAGAAGATACTTCTTTCACTGTTTTCATAAAAATTGAAATATGAGATCCGAGTTGAGAATATTTGGAATAGGATTTTTCAGCCTATTGCTAGAGAGAATTATAGCATTTCCTCAAAAACACTTAAGACTATTCCTCTAACGTGTGTGAGGTGGCGAGATAAAAAAGTATTGCAAATCTTCTTTGGTGTTGTTAAATATTTGGCCCTATTCACCCCTGTGAGTGGGGTGCAAGTGAAGCTGGGTGAATGTCTGTGATTAACAGTCACTAAGGGAGAGTTCCCAGCATGACGAGCCACAGCTGTTCCTCACCAGAGGCATACACCAGAAGAGCGCACACTTAACTTCTAGAATTAACATGTCATTTTGCTAGGTGCAGAGGGAGGAGCACATCAACATAAAAAGCATTCAAATAGCTTAGAAAATAAAATCATCTGTGAAAGGTGACACTTCATTTAGAGCCAGGGTTTAATTTGAATCTTGGGAAAGTTAAACCTCCAACTATGAATTACAGTTTCCCAGAGTGGAAAATCCACACCAAAAGGGAAATGATACTTCCTGAGAAATGCTGGGGTGAAAAACAAGGTCAGTTTACAGTGCAAAGGCAACGTGCTATTAATCAAAGCTATTCTTTGTGATATCCACTCGGGAAGGCTAAGGTTGCTGATATCTTGAGACCACTCCTGCTGAGTGATATGGCCATCCCCAGAGCAACTTTCCTTTTGCCCCAGAATCAGGGAATTCTGAGTACAGCCCATGATGCCCTCCTTAGCCAAGTGAATGAGCTCAGGGCAGAGCTGAAGGAGGAGAGCAAGAAGGCTGTGAGCTTGAAGAGCCAACTGGAAGACGTGTCCATCCTGCAGACAACACTGAAGGAGGTAAATAACAACAATAATTGAAAGATACCAGCAATTGTAAGTTACATTCCATTTCAGAGATGTTAAAAAGTGTATCTTAGCAACAAAATGGGTATTTCATTTTTTCAAATGAGAAAAATGAGGCTCCAAGTGGTTAAATAATTTGCTCAAGATTACTCCATTAGGGGAAAAACTGGGCTTTAGACTTATGTCTGTTCTCCAACGTCTTTGCCCAACTATAACGTTCTGCTACTTCCCTAACAGTAGAAACCCAGACATCATGAAAATTTACTTCAGAGAATCCTCATTAATTCCAATAAATGTTTCCATGACATCTTCAATTGGTTCAGGTCTTTCTATTTGGATAGCTCCTCATAGGCATGGGAGAGGAGCATAGAAAACCTCCCACCCAGGACCCATCCTGCAATGGAAAAGGGAAAACTTGTGCAAGGCAATAGATTTTTAAAATTTTATCTCAGGCAGTCTACTGTCATTCTTAGTTTCAGGAGAGAATTGAAGATTTGGAAAAAGAACGACAGTTGCTGAATGACAATTATGACACACTGTTAGAAAAGTGAGTACCAAGGTTGGGTCCCAGAGATTGTTTGTTATAAAAGACAATTATAGAAAAGTGCCTTCTGGGCTGGCTCCGTGGCCACGTGGTTAAGTTCTTGTGCTCCGCTTCAGTGGCCCAGGGTTTCGCTGGTTCGGATCCTAGGCGTGGACATGGCACCGCTCATCAAGCCATGCTGAGGTGGCGTCCCACATGCCACAACTAGAAGGACTCACAACTAAAAAATATACAACTATGTACTGGGGAGCTTGGGGAGAAAAAGCAGGGAAAAAAAAGAAGATTGGCAACAGTTGTTAGCTCAGGTGCCAATCTTTAAAAAAAAAAAGAAAAGTGCCTTCCAAATTTTAAAAATAATACCAAGTGTTGATAAGGATATGGGGAAACTGTACTCAATACTGTTAATCAGAATATAACTTGACAGTCTTTTTGGGAGAGAACTTGACACTATCTATCAAAATGTTAAACATGGATATCTTTTGTGCCAGCAATTCTATTTTTTGGAATCAAAACTGAAGACATCCTCTTATGTATGTGCAAAAGATATCTCTATAATAAGAATGTTAATTACCACATTGTTAGTAATATTAAAAAAATTGGAAACCATCCAAACTTCCTTTGATAAGGGATTGACTAAATAAATCATGTTGCATCCCCACAATGAAATACTATGAAGCTGTTAAAAATCAGGTAGACCTATATGCCTAAGATATATTGTTAAAAGAAAAATCAAGTTGCAAAAGAATATGTTAACTCTGACCTAATTTATGTCATGAGTGTGTATATCCACAAACTTTTGTGTGTGTGTGTGTGTGAAGAAGATTGGCCCTGAGCAAACATCTGTTGCCAATCTTCCTCTTTTTGCTTGAGGAAGATTGTTGCTGAGTTAACATCTGCGCCAATCTTCCTCTAAATTTTGTGGGATGCTGCCACAGTGTGGCTTGATGAGTGGTGCTAGGTCTGCACCTGGGATCCGAACCTACAAACCCTGGGTGCTGAAGCGGAGCTCACAAACTTAACCACTGTGCTACCGGGCCTGCCCCTCCACAAACTTTTAATGAGATGAAAGGATTGGAGTAGGGCAAAGAGACACCTTCGTTTTTATCCTATATATTTCTACATGATTTTAATTTTTCACAAAAAGCATACATTCATGTATTAATTTTGGAATTAAAAATATTTGGAAGTTTAAAAAAATTAAATGTGCCTTCTGATTCAGTTAAAGGCCGCAGGGGGTAGATTGGGGAGGTTGTATGGGAGTATCTTGGGAACAACTGATGCTTTTCAACTCAGTGAAATGAAGTAGTATGGGGATTATCCACTTTGAAGACCCCCTGTGACAAACATTACTATTGGCCTCTTCCCTTCATCACTCAGAACATTATCTTCTTGGATCATCACATAATGTATGGCCAGGAAATGCCCATAAATCTTAATACTAGCTTAGACAAGTTGTTTTTAGACCACAATTATTAAAATGATAAATAACAGAAAGACATAAGCAGAAAATAACTGTTTGATTATCAATGTCACTTCACTTGTATAAATAATCAAGAACCGGCCATGTGTGTTTTACACTCAAGATGGGTCTACCCTGACAGCTAGATACAATGGTGTGCAGGGTATGGTTATTGAAAACTTTAGTTCCTGTCCTTCAATGTTGTAAGTTGTAATCTAGTTCAAAGGCAAGCATTCTCTAAACTAGCCATTGGTGAAAGTAGATAAAGGAATGGAGTAAGGAAAAGAGGAACATTTTGTTCCTCATTTCTAGTCCAGCAGACCTCAAAATGTCTTGGTACATAGTTCCCTGCCTAAAGAAAGCCATCACACTGAAGAAGTTCCTTGGGAAATAGATACAACTTGGGTTATTTTGCTCAATGGGATGTTTGAGACCTAAACAGAAGTGATATTAATGAATTCCTTGATAGGACCCAAAAGTTCCAAGGCAGTTGGTAAATGACAGTTACAGATAAAGCAGGGCAGAAAAAACATGTAGGGGAATGAATGAGCAACTAGGCCTAGGAGATGCTGAAATGTGTAATAACGACATCATATCACACACCTTTGAGCATCCATCTGACAACTCTCCCCTCCCTCCTTACTTGCTTCCCATTTTCAGCATGCTGGACAGCAGTAACCAGCCTCACTGGAGCAGTGAGCTCGTAGGAGAACAGCTGCAGCAGAAAGTCTCTCAGTTGCAGGACCAGCTGGATGCTGAGCTGGAGGAGAAGAGAGAAGTCTTACTTCAGCTGTCCAGAGAGAAAGGTAGGTCGGGCCTTGAAGAGCTCTCTCAGATGAGGCATCCTCTACATCTGGTTTGGGAGAAGGGAACTGGGCCAGCATTTCTCCAATCCCCTCACTTGATCCTGTTTTTGTAGGGGTCATGGATAAGTAGAATAAGAAACTCAGCAATCAGATCAGATTTACAGTCAAAAAAGCATAACACCTACCTCATGTGTATACTTTTTCCTCTGTAATGACTGTCCATTTGAGAGGATACCAATTCTTAATTTATTTTTTTATTTCTTTAATTTTTTTTAAGATTTAAAAAATTTCTTTTTCCTTTTTCTCCCCAAAGCCCTCCAGTACATCGTTGTATATTCTTTGGTGTGGGTCCTTCTAGTTGTGGCATGTGGGACGCCGCCTCAGCGTGGTTTGATGAGCAGTGCCATGTCCGCTCCCAGGATTCAAACCAATGAAACACTGGGCTGCCTGCAGCGGAGCGTACGAACTTAACCACTCGGCCACAGGGCCAGCCCCTTATTTCTTTAATTTTTAAATTTTTTTCTTCTTTCCAAAGCCCCCCCAGTACATAGTTGTATATTCTAGTTATAGGTCCTTCTAGTTCTGCTATGTGGGATGCCGCCTCAGCATGGCTTGACAAGTGGTGCTAGGTCTGCACCCAGAATCCGAACTGGTGAAACCCTGGGCTGCCAAAGCCGAGCGCGTGAACTTACCACTCGGCCACGGGGCCCCTATTATGTTTTTAAACTTTCACTTTATTTTTGAAAGTGTTGAAAATGAATTTCTCTGCCTTATCTTATCAATCGTTTTAGAGATGATTTGGAGCCTTTTTTTTAGCAGTTGATACCTGAAATTGAGAAGCAAATTACTCCTCTTGGTTACCACTACCATTTTCTCCTGTCCTCACTCTTAGATCACAATAGATAGTTATTCTGAAGATTTTGAAATACTGTCGAAGAGACCTTTGTCTCACTTTTTCTTGCTAGCTTGGACCTTGATATTTAGTCTTCTCAAACTTATATTTCATCAAATTCTGGTATATTCACATAGGAGAGTAAAGGAAAAGAAATATTACATCAAGAAGAATAGAGGCAGGAACCCTAAAAGGATAAAGCTTAGGAGCCCATGCTAAGGATCTTGCAGTATGTATGAAGTACAAGTGAAATCTGGTAAAGACTTCAAGGTAATCTGATCTAACCCCCTCTCGAATGCAGATAATGAAGTGATCACACTAAACAGTGATCCCCTTCCTTCCCTGAAACACACACACGGACACTCATACACACACATACACATGCATGCACACATACACCCACGTGGAAATGCCCAAGTGCCCATCTTCCCTCCCTCCAGGTTAGGGTGGGTGTGGAGGCAGGTGCCACAGAGAGCCAATAGCGTAGAAGTCAGAATGGAGTTGGGGAGATACTGGTTTGGATGGTGCTGTCAAAAAGTTTAGGCTGTCCCAGTTAGTCAGCTGGCGCTGTTTGTTGTTGTTGTTGTTCTCTCTTCCTCTCTAGAATTCTGCAGGTGTTTTTTGTTTTGTTTTTGGAGTCCACATGTCAACTCAGTTTGCTGAGTCAGTAAGCTATAGCTCCTTTGTAGAAATAAGAAAGAATTGCTTCTCTAAGGGCAAATTTATAAAATGAATTAAACATTAGTGGGAAAATTTAATTCACACTTGGTCCAACTTTAACCATGGTTACTGATAACTACTGAGTTTTAACCTTCTGGATTATTTTTTCCCCAGCTCAAAACAACGATCTGAAGCTTGAAGTTGCAAACCTGCTTCAGAAGCATAAACAGGAAATAGAGATCCTCCAAAATAAAGACACCATTTCCCAGTCTCCTGACAGGCAATCGGAACCAGCCACTCACCCGGCTCTATTCCAAGAGACCACTCAGATAGAGGTAAAAGCATCTGTAATCCAGCAAGTCCCCTCTACAGAAGGATCTCTGGCAGACATCCCTAGGAAAGATGAAAGGATTAGGAAACTAACTGAATGATATTTTGTCCTGATTGAGGACAATATTTGGAAGGAGATGGGAAGGCCGAGAGCAGTGATAGCTTCATGAGCTCCACACATTTTTTCCACCCTTTACAGCTCATGAAATTTAGAATCTTTTTCAGATGAGGACTTGACGTGATCTGCTGAAGAGCCAACACCCATGAGAAGCTGAATAACTTCCTCACTGCTGCTACTAAACAGGAGGAACTAGGGGAGAGAGAACTTGTGAAGTGACACAAGTCCTCTTGGACGTTTTGGAGTAGATTCTCCTGCTGGTATTTTACTATTACCAACTGCTGTAGGGAGAATAGTTATTACTGTACCTATCATATTTATACTCCCTTTTGCCACTGCTTTTCTCTCTATAGCCCTGTGAACCAAAAAACCAAGAAGAAAGCAAACTGTCTCAGATGTTAAGTGAGTTGCAAGTGTTGCATGCAGAGACCACACTGGAACTAGAAAAGACCAGAGACATGCTTATTCTACAGCGCAAAATCAACGTGTGTTATCAGGTGCAAGAAAAGATGGTACAGAAAGGGGATAGATACATGGGCCCACGGGAACCACTTGAAAGGCTGGGAATGAAGCAAGACCTGAGTTTCTAGGGCTGATGTAAGGTGTTGTGTCGTCCTGTGCAAACACAGAATGTGCTGTCCTTTGAAGAACTTGAGGACTCACACATGCCCATGGCACCTTGGTAATAGAAGCCAGTGAAGGGGCCAGCTAATGAAAATGGCAGGTGTGAAGCTTCTGGGTTCCAATTTTGCCAGTCCCAGGAAAATACTAATCTGTGGTGCTCATAGCACAACTGGTCCTGGAGGGGTCTGGAAGGAACCCAAAACTTTTTCTAGTGGATCAGTCTGCTAAAGAGATAGTGGAGTCTCCATTACCCAGCAAATGCCACCTTTTAATCTGGACTCTTTGGTTCTGGGCCACTGGGATAGAAAATTTCAAACATTATTTTGTTTCAGGAGGAACTGGAGGCAGTGGTGACAAAAGCCAATAATGAAAATAAAGATCACAAAGAAAAACTAGAGAGGTTGAATCAACTCCTAGACCTCAAGAACAGACGTATCAATCAGCTGGAAGGTATTTTAAGAAGCCATGGCCTTCCAATATCCGGCAAGTTTTAGTGCTTTGTTCTCCCCATCCTGGGACCCGCTGCACAGCCAATGCCTATGTTCCCCTCTGTATACCTGTATGGAAGATGCGTCTTGTGTCCTCAGCGTATAATTTATCCCTCTTGTTCTTTATCCTGTCATCTTTGTTGTTTTTATATGTGGTTAGCAGCTTTTCCTCCATCATGTCAGTATCTTTCTCTGATTTCTCTGGAGAGTTTCAACAGGGCCCAGCAATTGCTGAATCTGTTTTGAGAATGAGAGCGTATCACCATTGGCACTCATGGTGACATAATACTCCCTTTCTCAAGGTTGTTTCCTCAACCCAGGCCTATATGACAGTTTTAGTTAGATAACAGAGCTTCATCACTCAACTCTCATCATCCTTTTCTGTAATTTCTCTCTAAAAGTCTCTAAATTCTTTGTTGCAGTTTGATGATGTCTACATAACAGGGCAGCTGGCTGAACACAGGCAAATTTCGTAATGTGGTACTTCCTGTATTTAGTATAGTCACTGCTGACCAGGATCTGGTCTCAGCCTTGCATGTCAAGAAAATTGGCTTTGTTATTATACCCAGTGGTGAGAGACCTGACTCACACTAACAAAATTCACCAAGGACTGATATTTAAACCAGAATGTTCATTTGTTATTTTATGACAGTGGCTGTTCCATGCCATGAGACTATTTGGAGCCACTGTTCAGGGCAACTGTCTCTCTGGAAAGCAGAATCAGTAAGCAGTTTCTTAGTGAGCATGGAGTTAAAATAAAGGGAAATGGATCATTCTGGGGCATGATTTATTCATGCCAGGGTGAGTCAGTTAAAGGTCACTGCCATATAACAGAGGAAAACCCCCTTGGATTGAAATTCTCACCTCTTTCAGATTCAGGGTCTTTCTCCTAGGACAGTGCAGGATAAAGACCCTCACCTACTTCTGAAGATGCATTTGCTTTAACTAATAGCACTTTCGTTACTGGTAAGGCTAAAGAGTTCATACATTTACCAGTTATTTGTATTTTTCTTTTGAGAATTGCCTATTTCTGTCCTTTACTCTTTTCTCAACAGTATATTGATTTATAGAAGTACTTTATATGCTAAGAATAACCTTGTGTCATGTAATGCAAAATTTTAAATGTATTTTATTTTGTTATATTAATCATATCAATTAAGATACCATTAGTCAATCTTTGGACAGATTTTGGACAGGAAGATATTCTGATGTATCCAAATATTTTTATTCTACTCCCTTAACTCTTAAAATAGGACCTTCACCATCAACACACTATGGCAACTCAAATACTCCTTGATTTGAAGCAGACTATATCAGAGTTTCTGATTGGTTGGACATGGGAGGTAATGCACTGATTTAGTAGACTGTCTTACATATCTTTGCATCTCATTGCCAGTATTTTCAACCTCTTTCCAGTAAGTGTCCTCCTCCATTTTCGACTTATTACTCTTTGACTTACAGTAGATTTTTTGCCTCCTTTGATGAAACCAAATTCTTAACAGACTGAAGATTCTTGTGACTGATCTGGCCGGAGAAGGGAAACCCTTTCTTGGTGGGGCCTGACGTAATGTAATAGACACTGTGACTATAACTTGCTATTTTCTCCATGGCCAATATCTCAAACTTTTGGAAATATTCACACTTTATGTTTCTAGTGCTTCTCTAAAGGAATTACCAATTAATTCATAGGACCTTGCCGTAAGCCAAAACAAAGTCACCTGTAGATGAAATTGTGCCTCCCGTGTTTTCCTGAGCTCAGTATTTGCTTTCCAATCGCTCATTTTATGCCTCATCTCTAAAGCAGGCATTGAATTACATGGCCATCAGAATTCATGGCTTCTGATTGTCATTCTACTGCTTTTCCTTTTGAATCACTTGTTCTTGAAATAATCCAACTTGGACTTCCACCATTGTTTTTATTCTCCTTCTGTCCACCTTCCTTTACCCTAAGAAAGAGCTCCCTACCCTTTAATGGATAGGCAGTTTTCCTTTCCCCTCTAGAACAGTTCAAAGATGTGGCTTATGGCACCCGACAGTTGTCATTATGTCTGGATACACTGCCAGCCCATGGAGATGAGGATAAAGTGAACATTTCTCTACTGCATCAGAGTGAGAATCTTTTTGAACTGCACATCCACCAGGCCTTCCTGACATCTGCCGCCCTGGCTCAGGCTGGAGACACCAAACCCACCACTTTTTGCACCTATTCCTTCTATGATTTTGAAACCCACTGTACCCCACTAGCTGTGGGGCCACAGCCCCTCTATGACTTTACCTCCCAGTATGTGGTGGAGACAGATTCCCTTTTCATGCACTACCTTCAAGGGGCTTCAGCTCGGCTTGATCTACACCAGGCTATAGCCAGTGAGCACTACACCCTTGCAGCCGGATGGATTTGCTTTGACAGGGTGCTGGCGACTGTGGAGAAAGTCCATGGCTCTGCTACACTTACTGGTAAGTGCTGTCGGCTCCCCACAGCTCCCAGGACTAATGCGGCATTTCCCAAAGTCTGTAGTTGCTCTTCTGGTGGCTTCCCATTTTCTTCCTCAGCCTTTAGTCTTGATCCTCACCACACCATCTGTATCCTCCCTGCTTTTCGTACTTTCTGCTACCCAGGAGCTGGTGGAGAAGACTTCGGGGTGCTAGAGTACTGGATGAAGCTGCGCTTCCCCATAAGATCCACCCTACAGGCATGCAATAAGCGAAGGAAAGCCCAGGCCTACCTCTCAGCCAATGTGCTTGGAGCCTGGGAGGCCCAGGAGGGTGAGGTGAGAAAAAGGCTGTGCCTGTGCATCTCAGAGTAGCCTCAGCCAAGCAGCTCATGAGAACAGCTCAGTCTTCCACTCTCAATGAGTATTTGCTGAATGTGAATGGAAGAGAAAAACTATCACATCACAACTAGTCCAGGTTCTTTCCTTGGTCAAGCTTGAGTTTGAAATGAAATCATGTCCTTGGAGCTAGCTACCTCTTCCTGCTGTGAACAAAATAGCTTCTCTGTTCCATTCTCTAAGATAAGGCCTGAGTGCCAACGTCTCCTTCTGATAACTATCTGCCAGAGCCAGTGTGCAGGCAGGTGAAAGTCCTTAGGTTTCTCTGTGCCCTAGTCAGGATTCAACAGTTCATAGGTCATAGCTCTTCTTCATTAAGGGTGCTGGGCTCCACTTACAGCAACTCTCTCAGGCTGCCCTTTTCCTCAGTCCAAGACCAACATCTTTCCAGTTTAGATCAAAGACTTGGAAGCATCAGAATGAGCTGCGAGTGGAAATCATCAGGTGCCGTGGTCTCCGGAGTCGATGGCTGGGAACCCAACCCAGTCCATATGCCATGTACCGCTTCTTCACCTTTTCTGACCATGACACTGCCATCATTCCAGCCAGTAACGATCCCTACTTTAGAGACCAGGCTCGATTCCCAGTTCTTATGACCTCTGACCTGGATCAATATCTGAGGTGGGAGGCCCTATCTGTGTACGTTTTTGATGATGAAGACCCAGAGCCTGGCTCATACCTTGGCCAAGTCCAAGTGCCCTTGCTTCCTCTTGCGCAAAACAAGTCCATTAAAGGTGGGACTTCAGGTTATTACATCTTTATGCTCTCTGCCCAGTGTTGTCTCCCTGTCCTAATTCTACTTTTCTTGCTTACTTGCTTGGAACAGTCTCTCTTAAAACCTGCTGAAAGAATTTTAGAACATCATCAAGAGAGACAGAGCAGAAGACTTAGAGCCTCACTAATCATATGGAAACATTGGCTTCTTCTGCTTCTTTTCAGCAACAAAAGCAAGATTCACAAGTGGGTAGAGCCACTAACCTGAGGTCCATACCTCAATCTCTGAAGAAACATTTTCCAGTTTGGTAGTGCTTCCTGGTATTTGTCTTTACTTAAGGCCTACTGTTTCTTAGCACATGACTAGACATCAGAGTATAAGCTGCGTTCCTAACGCTTCCCCAGAGTTCTCTCATTTCTTTTAGACAGTAGACACAAGTTAGAGAGACTTCCATGCTACACCATGACAAAGGTACATTTCTTGGTTGTTTTTTTCCCCCCAGTATGGAGCTGAACTCCCTACTACCTCACCTGACTTTCATTCCCAGGTTTGTGAGGTGCACCCAGGAAGGATCAACTCTCTGAGTGCAGTCCTGGGAGGGTGAGGCAGGGATATCTGTGCTGTCGCTAGGAGCTGTGGATGGGTACAGCCAGTAGCAACCATGTTTAACAAGTTTCTGGATGTTCCAGGGAGTGTGTGAGGCCTTCCTCCTCTCTATACCACAAGCGGTAAAAAAAAAAAAAGCTGACACTTCTGCTCACAACTCATCCTTTGCCAAGGGGAGAGGCAATGTGAGCCATCTGTTAAATTAATTAATCAGTGTTACAAATCAGAAGTCTAGCATTTGGGAAAAGCCATTTTGCTTAAGTTTTCTTGGCTTTTGTTATTTTAGAAGTAGGGATCACTTGAGTGTAGATAATGCTTTTCTTGGCATGCCCGAGGCATAGCGACTATTTGGTAAGAGTAATAATAATGTGATCTTGTGTATTGGCTGGGTGACTGATGACAAGCAAGCTATACCTCTCCATACATCTTTTGACTATCCCTTCCTGAAACCTGGAGATACCCATGTTCCCCTGTAAATATTCTGAGTGTTAGAAGTAAATATTCTAAGTGAATATAAATATTCACTGCTATTTTATGTTAGTTTATGTTAGGGTATTATCGTCATGATTATTTAATGGATGTTAATTACAAACAAAATGTGGTGAAATTCAAAACGGGGGAGGAGAATAGATAAGGTGCTGATAAATGCTCACTTGCCTGTTTCATGTGACCAGGGCTTATTAATGTCTGTGTGTCTCTCAGGTGATTTTAATCTCACTGACCCTGCGGGGAAACCCAATGGATCTGTGGAGTTGCAACTAGATTGGAAGTCTTCCTACCTACCCCCGGAGAGCTTCCTGAAACCAGAAGGTCAGACTGAGGAGAACCACACCAAGGACAGTGTAGAGATCTCACCTGAAGAGGCTCCCTTTCCTCCCCAGGTAACAGATTTCCACCAATGCTGTGGTGCAGATTTGAAGAAGATAGTATTAAAATTTGAGTAAAAGAAATTCCTTCTTTGAATGTCATGTGTTCTGACAAATTAATCTGCATCCCTCATAATGCCATGAGGCTATTGATGGAGCAAAATCCTGGGTTTTATTGTGGGGAGGAGAGAGAGACGGCATGTCTCAGCTCTCTGGCAGGAGAGAAATGAAGTCTAACGCTAGCTCACAAATCCCTCTCTGAGCATCAAGACAGTTAAGCTATCATCTTGTAAGGCTGTCTGTGATCCTTCTATTTAGGACCAGAGGGCATCTGCTGAGATTCCCATTGAAGCTGGCCAGTATCAAGCTAGGAGAAAATCTCAGGTGGGAGAAAGGAAGGAAACGGAACACCAGGTCACAAGCTACTCAAGAAGGAAACATGGCAAAAGAACAGGTATCCAAGGGAAGAACAGAATGGAGTATCTTAGTCGTAACATCTTAAATGGAAATACACTGCAGGTAAGGCCTTAGAGACTCTGAAGAACTGAAGTATGGGTTGTAGTGTCCCCAAGTAGATTATGCTCATAGACAGAAGCAGAAGCAGACTCACAAGATAAGCAATAATCATGGCTTTTTGTGGCCAGCCTATGTTTCCACAAACACAAGTAGTTTAATAAACCTCTGGACTGTTCACTTCATTTCAATGTAATTTAATTCAACAGATTATCAACTCTGCAATTTATGCTTCAAACTTTAGTACCACAGTCCTAACCAGTCCACTTCATGGTAATCAAAATAAATTAAACAAGTATTAATTGAACATCTACTGTATGCTGGATACTGCCTTTTTTTCACAGGGAACTGGATTAAAGTTACTATGTAGCACCTAAAATTTAAAAAAATACATATGAGATTGTAAATGTATACGATTATACAATTGTATATTACATTATTATTTTATCATTTATATTGTATTAACTGTATACTTAATAATATATAATTATTAATTTTATCAAATTATTATAATTATGCGATATACTTATATTCGTTGTCCTTATTCTGAAGCAAGTGAACTACACTGAATGGAAGTTCTCAGGGCTTAAGATCTCCATAGATGATGGTTTAAAAAATCAGCAAAAGGAAGAGGAAATGACATCATCCGATTCAGGACTGATGCAGAAGGAAGCCCTACATCCTGTAAATGGTATTGTCTTTTTAAAATCTAATTTTCCCATTTAATCATCGAATTATTTTATCAAGCCAGTTATTTACTTTCTTCCTTCACCTGACATTGCTAAACTTTTCATGGAAAATTAGTCCTAAAGACCTTAGGTTCAGTTTTATGTTAAAAGTGTGCTGGTTAGGCCAACCAAGGCTAGAACCCTCCAAGACAGTAGCTTTCTGTGTATTTGAAGCTCGCTAGCTAGCTGGCCAGTTTAGTTACCTAGCAAGCATAAATTTGTAACCATGAATTATGGTTACAAAGAAATTGGAGGAGAAGTATGATTGGCTCATTTGTGATGTTAATCCAGATTTCTTTTAAATTAAGGCAAGGCTTTCATTTTACAATGAAAAGCAGACACGATTTCAATTTGTAGTGATGGCAAACTAGGTAATTCAGACCAACCCTCCTGTTGATGACAACTGAAAAGCTAAAGTTAATATATATACATTTTTTAAAGCTTAATGTTTCTTAAAAGCACTGAAGAGCCAGTAAGAGAGGAAGGAATTACCTAGCCGAGATCAGAGAGATGAATGGGGCTCAGAGAGATGAGCTGGAACTGCTTCAGCCCTGGGACCTTGATGGTCTGGAGGAAGCGGTGGAGAGAGAGAGCCATGCTTTTCCTGGGCTTTCGGGGTGGGGAACTGGTATGCAGCCTGAATCTGAATCTGAATCTGAATCTGCGGTGTGCCCAGTGTAGGCAGGTGTCTGCCTAGGGCAGAATTTCCCACGTTAGTCTGGTACCCTGAAGGCAGCCCCATCATGAGCCTCTTGTGCTCTGAGAGGCAGAACTGTGCTTTGGTCACTTAGGGAGAGGGAGGGACAAGGGCTGATTGGATACCCGCCAGGACTCCCGATATTGTCAGATGTAACCTGCATAACAACTGTGTTTACTAGGTTCATGGAGATAAAGGCTGAACTTTAAAATTTCAGCAAGGAACTGGAGCTATGAAAATTGGTATTGTAAGTTTTAAAACACATTTTGTTTTAAAATAATTTCAAACTTACGTAAGAGCCGCATGAATAAGACAAAAAAAGTGCACATAAACTCTTCACGCAAACTCATCAACTTTTAACATTTTTCCGCTTTTTGCTTTATTACTTTTTTCTGAAGCATTTGAGAATAAGTTGCAAATATCATGCCCCCTTACTGCTGTATATTTCAGTAAGAAAAAGGAAATTATATAATCACAGTACAATTATCAAGTTTGCAAACTTAACATGAATACATTAATATATAATGTCCAGTCCATTTTCAGAATTTGCCAATTGTCCTAATAATGTCCACCATAGCAGGCTTTTCCCCCCTTATCTAATCCAGGATCGTACGTTGCATTTAGTCGTGTCTCTTTAGTTTTTTAAAATCTGGAACAGTTCCTCATCTTTTCTCTGTCTTTCATGATCTTGACATTTTTGAAGAGTGTAGGTTAGCTGTTCAGTAGAGTGTTGCTCAATTTGGATTTGTCTGATGTTTCTTCCTAATTAGATTCAGGTTATGAAGTTTTTACAGGAATACCACAGAAGTAATATTGCGTCCTTCTCACTGCATCACATTAGGAAGTACGTGATGTCAGTTTGTCCCATTATTGGTGATGTTAACTCTGATCACTTGGTTAAGAAAGCATCTGCCACATCTTACTATCATAAAGTTATCATTTTTCTCTTTGTAATTATTAAATAATCGATGAGAAGATATTTCTAGTCTACATAAATATCTTGTTCCTCATCAAATTTCACCTGATTAATTTGGCATCCATTTATGTGGGGTTTTTTTTTTGCCTGAATCAATTACAAAATGTTTGCAAAATACATTGCAAATTTGGAAATGAATCAATATAAATAATAGAACTGCTAAATACAGAAATTTGTGAGAGAAATGGATGGGTTAAAAGGAGATTAGACACAACTGAAGTGAGACTTGGTGAAAATATCCAGAATAAAGCAATGAAAGACAACAAAATGGAAAATGTTGTTCTATCTTGTTCCAACAAGAAGGAGAAAAGAGCCGTAAAGGATAAAATTAAGAGGTCTAAGCTACACTTAGTGAAATGTTGGAGAAGAGAAAGAAGGGGGACAGAGGCAATATTTAAAGCAATAATGACTTAGAATTTTCCAGAACTAATGAAAGATATTAAGATTCAACGAAATGAAACTCAAACAGGATAAGTAAAAGTAAATACAAATCTAGACATATCAGAGTAAAAATGCAGAAAATAAAATCAGAAAGAAAATACTGAAAGCATCCATTTAAAAGAAGAAGACAGCCATGGGTGCATCGGTAAGATGGACAACTGACTTGTCAAGAGCTACAGCTGTAGCCAGAAACCAGTGGCAAGATACCTTCAATGTGTTGGAAAAAACTCCTAACTGCCAACCAAGAATTTTCTGTACAACAAAAATATCCTTCCACAGAATAGACATTTAAAGACAAACGAAAATGGAGAGTTTGCTTGCAAGCTACATTTTACAGAAAACTTAAAGGTTGTTCTTTAGGTCGAAGGAAAATTATCCCAGAAGGAAACACAAAGATGTAACAAGGAATGAAAAGCAAAGAATATGGGCTAATTTAAATGATTTTATAAAGCAAAAATATCAGCTTGTGGGGTTTAAAATATATTCAGAATTTAAATAAATAATGTAGTGGGTTCAGCGGTGGCCCTCCAAAAGATATATCCATGTTCAAAACCCTGGAACCTGTAAATGTTACCTTATTTGAAAAAAAGAGTCTTTGCAGATATAATTACATTAAAGATCTTGAGATGAAGAGATCATCCTGGATTATCTGAGTGGGCTCTGAATCCAATGAAAGCATTCTCATTAGAGACATTCAGAGGAAAGACACATGCAGAAGAAGAGGAGGCAGTGTTACCATAGAGTCAGAGTTGGAGGGATGTGGCCACAAGCCAAGGAATGCCTGGAGCCACCAGAAGGTGAAAGAGGCGGATTGTCCACTAGAGCCCTGGTAGTGAGTGTGGACTTTCCCAACACCTTGATTTTGGACTTCTGGCCTCCAGATCTGTGAGAGAATAAATTCCTGATTATTCTTTTCTTTTTTCGTGAATGCTTTCACCCTTTTTTCTCTTAATATATTTTAGATAGATGGTTCGTCCATAACAAGGTTAAGTGACTTGTATATGTTTTATGTAAGCCAGAGGCACAACCAAGGCTAAAATAACATCTGGCCCAGCAACTAACATTGCTGAGTGAGCTCATGGGAAGTTCATTATCACCTTGAAGATCCATTATTTTATTGTAAAATGAATGACTCTACAGAAAAGAGAAAAGAGGCATAAAGCATAAAATGAGGAGGTCTAAACTACATTTAGTTAAATATAGAAGAGAAAGAAAGGGACAGAGGCAATATTTAAGGTGATGTGTATAATTCATATCCACATTCAGAAAATGAAGTCATGAGAAGGTGGTCTGTTTTTCTTGAGATCTGTTTTTGTCTCTCTCGGTAGTTGTGGGTTGCTTTCTTTAATTTCTTTCAGCAGCTTCTGGATTCCAGCATTAGGTTCATCTATCTTTAACCTGTGTGCCTAGAGGGGCAATTTTAAAGTTTCAAGGCTTCACACAGCATCTTTTCTCCACTGCACCTCCAAGGAATTCGGGCCCAGGTCGAGAGTGATGAGGTTCTGGTTGCTGCTGAGGGCAGATGAGAGATCTGCACAACTGAAAGAAGTGATGGCACAGCCCCACAACCACAGACATCTCAGGTGACACAGTGGTGTCTTCAAAGCCTCACACAGAAACTTCAGTATAGTAATTCCTATGTGATTCAGCCCCAAATCCAAGTGTATTAGGCTTGATTTTTGTGGGAGAAGCTTTGACAGGTGGTTGCAGCCATCACTGGTTATGTTGCAGTACCATAGCATCAGGGTCTGTAGTTTAAATTGGGGGTTACTCAAGCCTTCACACACAGGTTCCACCCTACCTTCCTAGAGGGCACTCTGCCCAGCACAGTTGTGTCAACCTCTGGTTGATGATCAAAGCATAACAGAGCTCCTTCCAACAGTTTCCTGTAAGATGACAGTTTTCCAACGACAACCTCTGCAGGAAGCACTTTAAGTGTCTCAAAGTTGTGGACAGGAACTTGACACCCTCATCCAGGAGCTCATTTGCTGTGAAATTCAAGCATGCCAGGGACCGGTTGATGAATGATGTCAGAACAAGACACCAACCTGAGATAGTGAAGATTATATTTTGGTTGTCTCAAGACCTCCGACAATGGGGAAAACATATCATTTTGGTCATTTCTTTGAAGGGCCATGTGCGTTGGAGTTTCCTGGCCACCAAAAGTGAGGCAGAAGTTTCAATAAACATCAACTGGGGAAATATTTTTGAGGACGACTTTCTGGAGATTATGGGTAGTGGAGGCTTTTTTCACAAAGAATCCTCACTGATGAGGTACTAAGGAACCTCTCACTGATGTCCGGAAATAGCAGATTCTTGATTGAGCCAAAGATAGAACAAAGGTCCATCCAGAAAGGAAGCGATTGTGCGTCATTTTGGGACCTCTCAACCTGAGTGTCTGACTCTGATGTGGTATCATTCTGCAGGAATATCCCCTTTTCTACCTGCAGCAAAATTATCTGTAAGTTTTGACAATGCTTGAAGGCAGAACCGTGAGTGCATGATGTCCATTTTATTTTTCAAATGCCGAAACATTTTCTTGATGTGGGCCAATACATTCTTCAAAACCTGCTTCTCCTGAGATTCGTCAAGATGGTGCAAAACCACCTAATGTCCATCATTGAGGAGAAGGATTTATTCTCATCAAGCTGTGCTTTGTATTTCAGTAAGTCCCATTTGACCTCCAATGACATCAGGCATCCAAAAGTTGTCTCCAGCCTCCTGGCTCTCTTTTTGTTCAAGAGGCTGAGTAAGAAATACTCTACTCGGGTCATGCGGGTTCTTTAGTGTTTCTTCCTTGGAGAGCAGCTTCTGCACATCCCCAGTATCCTACCTGAGGCTATCCCTGT